TGTTGGGTTTCCTGTGATCTCATGAGCGAATCTAATTCCTAAGAGATCGATTCTAGGGTTTGCGCAGCGGATATGAAACAAAAATTTTGATGAAACCCTAGAACCATGCTATTATTGAATCATAGAAACGTTAGAACGATTTCCTCAATCGATCCGGGGCCTGTATCAATTGAAGAACACGTCTGATCACGAAAGGCAGGAAATTACCTCGCCCTCTACACGTATCCACACGTCGGGATGGATTCCAACACCTTGGAACTTGTCTGCTAGGACTAGAGATCTCGATCTCTCTTGTGTGCAAGGTTTTTGGAGGCTTAGGGTTTTATTTTTCTTCTTTTTCTTTCTTCTTTTTTTTTCTTCTTCTTTTTTCCCTTTAAAACCCTAGAAGACATTCTCCTTATATAGACTTTCCAAAAATCCTAATTTGACAAGGAATAGATTACTAGGAATCCTAATCTAATTAGGTTTCCTAAACCTATTAGAATTCTAATCTCATTAGGTTTCCTAGATGTAATAGAATTCTAATCTCATTAGGATTCCTATACATAATAGGATTCCTAATCCCATTAGGATTCCTATTCCAATTAGGAATCTCAATCCAATTAGGATTCCTCATCGGGACAATTTAGCACACGTACTTGTCCATCCCTATTGTGTGTGACCCTGTAGGCTCATCCGGAATAGCAGTAAAACGCAGAATCTCCATTCCGGTAATACAAGTCATAGGCGGTCTCTAGCAAGACACTATGACTACCTATCTCGAATAGAGTTTGTTTGTGATCATACGAAAGCCAGTGATGATTCCGACTAATGATCCTTTTGTATCGCGATATCATATGTCGAACATAAGGCATGGACAAGCCACCTTATCTGATTCGACTGCTTTCTCGTTCACTGAGTTCGACTGTCTGAAATAGACGACGTTCGTCTATAGTGCGACCACACATTTCTACAGTCTTGCTCACACGAGGGGCCCAGAAAAATCTCTCTCTTTTACGAGAGGTACAAATCACGTCTTGACTATCTACAATCCAGTACATGATTCGTTTCGTACCTGATACACGCCTTTATAGTCCTCCTGTTACGCAGGACGTTTGACGTAATCAAAGCACGCAACTCCTCATGTTGGATTCTGTAGATATCTCAGGTCTTAGGATCCAATCATGGAATCGTCGTATGAGATTCAAGTCATGACGCTAGTCCATGTAACAATCTCATGCGGGTCAGTCCAGTATTCCGTTCTGCAACGAATACCTATGATTGTGATCGTATCCAATACCTATGATCATCTATGTGATCATCAATCACACATCATACTAGTCTTATTATGTCGTTATTCCCATAACGACACAAGACTAGGGAGTTTAGTATCATGCTTTGAGTTT